CGCCCCAAAACTCGACGCTGCGGCGTTTTTCGAACAATTGATCTCGATTCGCATCTTAATTCATTACTTAATAGAGTCAACGTCAGACTGACTGGATGGCTGGATGGGCTTCCCGGGCTTCCTGGGCTTCCTGGGTTGGCGGTTAGGGAGCAAAGTTTGCTCTGGTTTCGGCTTTCGTTGATTACATTTCAGATGCATGGCCAATGCAAATGGGGGACAAGCAACCAGTAACCGGGACGTGGATAACTTTGCATTGTGTCATTTGCATGCGGTTCTGTTGTATGCAAATTGCGAGTAATTGGTGTGAAACGTCTGCAATGAACGTGACCCCTACTGCTCGGCAGACACCAAGCTAAGTCCTGCGAGGAGCCGGGCGATATGCATTCATTATTTATAAGCAAAATATCATAAAACTTAACAAGGGAACGAGCACAGCCAGCGGGTGGCTCAACTATTGGGGTTACTACTAACATTTTGTCACGTGTCCGGAATGAAATCAGTTCATCTCGGGAGGGGGGTGGAGATGCAACTACATCTGGCAAGATGGATGTTTAGCAACAGCTGAAACTACAAGGGGAAATCTCCGCTTGGCCCACGGGCCATGCCGAACTAATAAACTACATAGTTTACGCATTAAGTCCTGGCATAATTTCCTAGTAAAACGCTCGAGAGCAAACCACGGAGTGGCAAAAGGCAACTGAACTGTCGTTGTCCTAGGAATCGGGCAGCCACAGGACACGAAAACCGAGTCCATACGAAGCTCAAAGAAAGTATTAGCCATAAAAGAGAGAGCTTTCGCCTGTTCTAAACCAGCTAAGAGAAAATTACAACCCCTAAGAGCTACCCTTACGATATTCGGCACTAAGCACAATGGAGTACTTTCCCCCCAGGAGTGCTTCCTTATGCATGCATGTAAAATGTAAAACCGAAATTGTTATTCGTGCAGTCCGCTTGTTTGGGGTACATGCAACAGCAAATGCAACAACAGCAATGACAGCAATGCTAAACACGACTGCGAATTGTTGAACAGGCCTCGCAATTTCCATTTAACCAGCCAAGTTTCGAATTAACCAAACGCTTGAGCTAATTGACTAGACAGCGAAAGCCAAACTGCAGTTGTAACCATTTTGGTACCTGTTTTCTTTTTCAGAAACAATATATACCGCACCCCTCACTCGGCTAATTAGCTGGAAAAACAGCAAAGGGGCGTGCCGCGGCGGGCATATAAATTACGCCATCAACCCAATAAAATTACACCTATCGAGAGTTCGTAATGGATTGCATTGCAAATTTGAGGTGCTCTGCTGCCAATTTTAAAATGATTTATGCACACGCACTCACCCCTGCGTATACGTATTATGTTTTGGGCACACAGAATATCTCCGAGCCCCCCACAAGTTAATTAATGTGCGGTCAACATAGGTTTTTGTGGCTTCCAGCTGCTAGGAAGCCCAAGCCCACATCGCCTGATATTTATGTTGCCATGTGTTTTGCATTATTGTGGCCAAACATGGTTGTTAAGACTGGCCCGAAGAAGAAGGAAATGTCTGTGGGCAGTGCATATCATTTAATAGGAATTTTAATGCAGACGCTCGGCACGGAGTGCACATTCCAGCAGGAAATTGAATTCCTGCCTCGTTTCATGATGAATTTATGTTGTGTGGCTAAATTAAATAAGACATTAAGTGCTGCATTATGACCGAGCTGAGTGCATTCTGTTCCATCTGGTTGGTCTGGCATCAGTTTGCCAAGAATTAAGACCGGCTCGGCTAAGCCAAATAACTTGCCAAGGCAAATAGCAACTTTGGGTGGCTGCTGCCAGCCTGGCCCTTCAATTTTAATTAGCATTCCAGTTGGCAGAGGGAGCAAGCGAAGACGAAGGCCTTCTTATCCCAGTCCCAGTGCTCACGTCCACCGCCAGGTAATTAACAATAACAACTACGACACTCTTGTGACAAAGCCGCCAACCGAAAACATGACATAACAACAAGCCGCCAAGCTTATTTGCCTGGCAATGGTCAGCAGTTGAATTAGCACCGAGTTTTAGTCCTCGGGCCCGGGTGGCTAATTAAAATGTATTGCTTTGTTGTTTTGTTTTGAGCACAATCCGGTGGGATGAATTAAGCCGGCGTGCTTTTAAAGACTCTCCTTCAGCCCGATGAAGTGGTGGTGTGGCATCAACGGCATCATTATTCAGGCAGTAGGACGTTGGGAAAAAGTTCTCGGGGAGCGCTAACGATCTGCCAATGTCGAGCTGAAGCTGAAGCTGAACTCTGAAACTGATGCGAAATCGAGCCGAACCGAACCCAGTTGAGCTAAGCTGCGACCATGCACCATTAACGATAACATCATCAAAGAAAATCCTTTACGACCATGTGTCACGTCAAAACGCAACCACCCACTCCTCCACCCACTCGCCACCCACTTGCTTCTCTCCGAAGGACACAGTCACATCCACATCCTCGCAGGGAGGAGCGCAATAGAAGCCTACGCTTCCTGTCACAGGACAAAACGCACAGCAGCAAATTGGCAGCAACGACAGCAATTGCTACAAAAGGGACGACCGCCCGTATCCGAGAATCCGAGTATCCGAGTATCCCCAACATCCCCCGTTTCCACCGTATCCCAGCATCCGAACATCCTTCGGCACCGGAGACGCACGTCGCCAAAGCTCAACTGCACACACATCAAAAATAAACCATCAGGCCAAGGCTGGGAAAAACCGACAACAAAAAACGCCGACATATCAACATTAGTCAATGTCGTGTAAGGGAGTACCCGTGTCTAGGCCCTCATATCTCCCTTCTTGCATACCCGTTAATCGGTAAGGTAGAGGGTATATTGCATTCGGGAATATTTAGATTTAGGAAAGGAGATAGTTCATCCATATAGTTTTTAGAATTTTATTATATATAGATATGTTTGGTAGACCCTTGTGCCAAAAAGGAATCTTAAGTAATAGCCCCTTGATTTTTATAAAAAATATATTTATGTTTTTGTGACTACCGCACTAAATTATAAGTTCCCAACATTCAGCGTTAGCATATAAATAATACTAATAATAATAATAAACGCACTTACTATTCCTATGTTGTATACATATTTATTTAAAGGGTGTCTTTTATTCGTGGCTTCAGCCAAATACCTTTTTCGGAATTTTCTTTTATTTTTGGGTTCGGGGCTGTGCAGCTGTTTTGAATAATCGAGCCCCGCTCTGTTTGTGGATTTGGTAAAGTATGAAAAATATGCGTGTCTTACTTAGAGCCGCGCCAGAGGCCTAATGAAGTGCTCACATCCCGATGGGCTGGCCCAGCGGGTCCAATAATTAAAACGTGTCGGGCAATTTCTCTCAATTTACACGCCTCCAGTTCGACTTTTTTCCTTTTTGCTGCCACACAAGGTGGCATCGTTATGGCACTCCTGTTGTCCCCATTCGAATAGCTCGAGTGCCCGGACTGGAGCTGCATTTGCACGAGCTTGTCATTTATCAGTGGCTCTGCTCTTGAATTTCAATGCAGCTTATACAATTTGCCGTACTTTGCATAAAAGCAAATGCTTGCCTCTCCCCGCCATTGAAACATTTTCCGAGCCATGCTTATGTGTATGTGTGTTTGCTTAGTCGTGAAAATTTAGCAGCAGCGTGAGAGGCACGCACGCACCGCATTCTCGATTGGCAGGCAATGGATTGAAAGAAGCCGCTCCAGTTGCATCGGGAACGGCAGCTCCCCGATCCGCCGGCTCTTATATTGACTTGCACTTTGTGGCGCTTTGCGGTGTTGCGTGGCGCATACGAAATGCCTGCAAGACAATTCGCTAAAGGAAGCGTCAGTGGCAGAAAAAGGATACAAAAACCATTTTCACTTGCGGTTCGTCTTTGAGCGCATTTCGCTTACGGGTTTTGTTCTGTTTTCGCACTCCATTTTGGGCTGCTTGTAAACCCAGTGTAATGTTTTTGATAACATACACTGGTCCAAAAAAAGTAAGCGAGTGTCGTGTAAGTTTTCAATTATTAGACTCATTGGTCTTGTTTAACAATCAAAGCTAATAATTAAATGTTGATCTTGTAGTTCTCTACTTTCCGGTCACTTTTTGTACACCTTTGATAAAAAATCATTCTTCTATTCAAAGCGCAATGTAAGCCTGAAATCGCTTATTAAGAAACCCAAGGACCATGCGGCGTATGCGTAATTTAGACTAGAGGAGATAGGAGAATGTGACACGTAACAGGTGATTTGACCTAGGCAAGCAAACGCAGACAATGGCAAAAAAAACCGATAACGATAACTTATCCCAAGATCTTTTGACATGAGCAAACAAATAAAGAAGAAAGCACGCAACAGCCAAAGGAGCAAGGCGATGGAAATACAGAGGGAAAAAACGTGGAAAAATACAAAGTGCTGTCATTCATTGTGCTGTGCTATTTGCCAAGGCAAGGCAGTCCCACTGACATTCTGCTGTCCCTCCCTCCTTTCCCCTCTCCTTTCTGCTTTCTACTTTCTCCTTTCTCCACATTGCCAGGACATATGTGTGTGTTTGTTTGTGTGTGGGTGTCCAAGTCCAAGTCTTTGTGCGTGTGACGTTTTATCTCTGTCACTAAATTGACACTTTAGTTAATGGATTTTGTGTGTGTGAGTGTGCTATTTGTGGCGCTTACTTTTTATCTGTGCGCCTTGGATTTGCCACTGTTGCTCCTTAACATATCAGAAGGCAACACCAACACCAAACAGGAGCTCAAACAGGACACGCACTTGCCCGAATCAACGTTCCAAGTGTAAGTACTTTGAATAATAAGAATGCTCACTTTGACGGATGCGCAACAAATCTCTTTAGATTTATCAGAGGAACGATGACAACACTGCGGATGGGTGTTATTCGTACACCTCCATCCCCAAAGGCGTCATGATCCCCACAACAATTGAGGGGGATTATTCACGTGCTTGTATCAATGCACACGATTTGTTACGACTTACGTGTCACTCCCAACATATTCGTAGTGTAAAAGTGTATAAATATTTGTTAAGTACATATATATATGTGCCTTGATTTCGGTTAAACAAAATGCCTCGTCGAGTACTTGAACGCTACGGATTTGAGCCAGCCAAGCAGTCATGCCTGCGTAAGTCCACCCAGAAACTCTTTGATTGAGCCATAAACTGCATACTGTATATGCCGAGTATATATGTACCATACCCGCAGGCAAGTCAAAATTGGATCCCAAAGGTAAATGTGGCGTTGCCATCAAGCAACAGCCGAGGGAGCAACCTGTTGAGGCGAAGAACCCACTGCAGTTCCTCGAGCGACAGAGCGATGCGGAACTCGTCGTGCATTGGACTCGCGCTGGCGGAAGAACTCTTTCACCCATCAAATTGTTGCCCCCTTGGTAGTAGTGTGTGACGTGCCAAAATTAACGACTTTTCGGGTGCTCGCAGAGATGTGTGACAAATCAATAAAATGGAATAAAACTGTTTCGCTAAAATAGACATTTTGATACTAGATCACGACATGTGAAAAAATATATATTTTTATACCAGAAGTCCAATGGATTTATTTCAAAGCATGGGTTTCGGTTTTATTATACCAAATAAAAAATTAAACATTTTAATTCTAATCTTAATTAAATAATGTATTTGAGAATAAAGAGGATCAGTCAAGAAAATCACATAATCGGTAATCTAATGGGTCTATTACAAAGCATGGGTTTCGGTTTTATTATACGAAATAAAAAATTAAACATTAAAATATGAATGTTAGTTAAATAATATATTTGAAAATAAAGAAATGCTCAATATAAAAATAATATAATTAACTTAAAAATCACATAAGCGCTAATCTGATAAGTCGAAATATGATTTCTTTCAAGCTTTTGGTGTATATTGTACTCTAAAATGTTTGTGTGTTGGTGTCAGAATTTTCTCAACAAACTTTTTCAAAATTATCATATTACCCCCAAGCTCAATGGGACTTATGACTGGAATGTTAGGTCCTTGTGGCAAAGTTTACTATGCGTATCCGATAGAAAGGATGCCATAGAAACCGAGAACACACTTCAGCTTATTTCCAGGATTTCCGAGAAGGAAAAAGAGTGCGCTGAGTTAAAAAAAATAAAATATTTAATGCCCTCGGCTTATGTGCTGGATTTCGATTCGACCTGGCCGCGTGCGATAAATACACATGTGTATATCTGTCACAGTGTCAAGTTTTAAATCGGCTTTCGGGTCGGCCAGCAGCTTCAATTTGACGCAATAATTTATATGTGATTTGGTCGCATTGCGGCGGCTTGTCAGGGCTCTGTTGGTCCGGGGGGCAGGGATTTGTAAGTTCTGTTGACAAAATAAGCAAAATAATATATTTCAAAAGTTGTGGCACGCGCTTCCGCCGGGATTTGGTTAATCGAATATGCACACAAAGGGGATATAAGCCGCCCTCCCAATCGCAATTCCCCACTGACCCATCATCATCATCATCGTATGCAGGCCCTTGACACATTAATTGGCCAAGTGCACGGCAAAGTTGAGGGGCTCCTTTAGCAGCGTGCATTTTCAGTATTAAATAAATATACGGCCATGTGCTTTATGCTGCCACCAGGTGTGTTGAGGACTGGCCAAAGCCGAAGTGGTAAACTTTCCTCTGAATGTGGCAGCACATGCAAGTTGCAACATTGCCATTCAGCCACCCACCACTTGGCCAACTGGGCGCGAACTTGGCCCAGCAAACTTTTCCTGTTCGGTTGTGGATCGCTTTAAAGCGTCCCTATTTATGCCACCGGCAGACTAACCACTCACACTTGCAGAAATAAAGTTTAAACTTTAAATGAAGAAGCTACTTCAAAGTATGTGTATGTTATGAATAGTTTTATTGCCCTCAAAAATAAAAACTTTATTGTACACAACATTAGATAGATATACTTAATAAGTTTGGTGTTAACAAAACAAGCAACGATTTATTTGAAATTAAATGTCTTGGCATTAATCTGTATTACAAAAATAAATGATAAAAAGTATATAAAAATGTCTAAATATATCTTATTGATATACAAAATCATAAAATTATTTTAATGAGTGTCATGATCTTTTTGTGAGTGCAAAATGCTGGCTGAGAGCAGCCTTTGCTGACCGGGTGCTCATTATGCCCATTGCCGAGGGTATCCGCGCTAAGTGGCTCCTGCATTGGGAATGGAAACTAAATGAATGGCCGCTTGAAATGCCTTGAAGCCCAAAGGATTAAATGCTCGCTGCACACACAAAGGCGGCGGACTGCCACCGCATTGTGAAAACAACTCATTTATCATAAGCGCGGTGCAGTGGGATGAAGGGGGGGTTAGGGGGTGTCTGGAGAAGAGAAGAAGAGGGGAGGGAAGGGGAGGGGGGCTGGAGCGGACTGAGGCTTACGACAAAAGTAACTGACAACTGCAGATGAAATGTTGAAAGCGCGAACTGAACACAGCGCAACAATTAATTGTCTCCGCATTCATTCGCCCTTCGCCAAGATGCCAGATGTTTTTTCATAAGGAGGGGGTATTTGGGGTCAGGGGTCAAGGGGGCAAGGTGGGCAGTCGCTTGGTCACGGGTGCGGCAGGTTGCTCGCCCCGGCACGCAATAATCGCCCGGCATTTGCCCTTAATTAATGGTTGAGCGCAAAGTAATAAACGATATTTAAACAGAAATTGCTTTGTTTTTTGCTGCTCTGCTTTTGTAATTGAAAGCAGACGGAATTCATATTTTATGCGGCTGTCATAAAACTTTAACAACTATTTTTGCCGAAACAAATAAAAACCAAAAACAACAGCACCCATTTTAATTAACTCAAAAGCTTGAGCATGCGATAAAAGCATTGGCCAATAATTACTTTCCTTTAATTAAAATATTTATTATTAAATAAGAGATATGGGAAAGACAAAAAAGTATGGGAAAGGGTACTAGATTCAGGGATGATAAATTATTTTAATAACAACAGACGACGACTCAGGGACCTGTGCGTGCCAGGACAAAAGCCAAGAAAAGCCGGGCCAAGTGTGTTTCACAGGTAACCAGTGAAATTGCCAACATGTGGAGAAATCGGGGTATAATTTTAATACAAAAAGTACTATATAAATGAAAATATAGCAAAACTCAGTTAAAATATTTTCAATCTTTCTTTCATTACTTTTGAAAATCCACTGGAAACTTTACCTACGTCAGTCACCAATCAATCAGTAGACCAATACCACATCGCCTCGTTAAATTCCGTATTCCAACTCTCTTTGACTTGCCGCAACATGACCAATCACTTTCACCAGCCGCAACGATCTAATTAATTTGTTGCAAAATAATTTATTAATTAGCATGTCAGTGTCAGAGATTTTCGGCCACGGCTTATCATTAAACAAAGAAAAAGCCACGCAGCAGATGGATTGGATTGGACTGGGGGTCCACAACGGGGGAAGGTAAATAGGCAATTAATCTGGCTCAACTGCCGACAGGTGTGCGCGAAAAACCTGCATAGGAACCGGTGTAGTCCGGCCATGTTTCCCTGTTGGACTTCGTCGAGGAGAAAAAGAAGTCGCCGGAATGGAGGACAGCCGGCGGGAAATTGAACGAGCAATTATTTATTAATTTAACAGACACGCAATGCACATGGAGTTATCTCGATGCGATTCCTGACATCCGCTCCGATATCGAGCAATTCGAATTTTTGCCTCGCTGCAGTCGAATGTCAGCCGAGGATGCAGATGCAGATGCAGATGCAGTGCGTGTGTGCCCATTAAGCATTTATGATGTGCATGTCAGCGTCGGAATCCCTGCTCCAGGCAGGATTCACTGGAGCCATCGCTCCACTGATTTCCCTGGCGACCTGCTCTGCGCAGGACTTTCCGCCTGGGCAGCTTTAATTCAACAGTCTGGCTTAAGAATCATGAGACAATTAATCAATTGCCCTGATAAGTTGCATTTAATTGGGCAGCAAGGAATTTTTGACAGCCACACTGAGCAGATTCACTTAGAAGACGACCAATTAAGTGTTAATCAAAAGTCTCTGTTTTAAAGAATTTAATTAAAACTAACGCCTGGGTTTTTTGGGGCTCGGTTTTGGCTTTGGCCTTCTTTACATCGCCTGAAAGGCTTGGTATTTTGGCTGGGTTTTAGCAAATTGCAGGGAGGCATTTGCCCCAACCAAAAACCAAACCGAAATGAAAACTAAAACGTCGCATTTGCACTCACATCTGCAGAACTGCATTCGAGTCTGGGTCAGCAATTTGCGAGTGTGTGCCTGCCCAAGTTTCTGGCAAGTGAAAATGAAAGCCCTTAGTGTCTGTGTGTGCCAGTGTGCAACGGAAGTGGGTAAATAGCGCAAGGAGGAAATGTACAAATAAATATTTGCAAATGAAAATGAACAAGGAAATGGAAGCGCCATGTGGCAGCGACAAGCGCTAAAACGTTTTATATATGTGTCCGAAACGATAATAAATGCGGCTGTTTGGCCACACAACAATTTGCAGCAACCCTGATCCCGAAATACCTCAAAGGAAATTCTTGGAAAAATCGTGCATTGTTCAACGGCTGAAAAATGTGGCGAAATTGCTATTTTTATTGCACAAAGTTCAAATAATGTTTTCCCGCAATATCTTATCCCAAATTCGTGGAAAATATACGGCTGTTTTTTGTGTGCTCAAAGTCCAATTAATATTTTTCATTATTGGATTTAATTTTATTCACGCTGAGAAAATATCAAATGCACAATTTAATATTCTTTAAAATCTTATAAGATTGACTGACTAAAATTTAAAGTCCTTTAATATATTCTTTAAATATATTTATTAAAGGGAAGAAAAAATATATCAAAACCATTAAGGATTATTATTAGAAATAATTGAATTCATTATCAGCTTTTCCTCAATGAAAGTCGATTCCACCAAGACTAAAGGCATTTATCAAAGAACAAGTCTGAGCCAAAATCATGATTGAAAATTTAATACCCCACTTTAAAGCCAAAGATTATCGCCAGTGAATCAAATTAATTCGAGTGCAGAAATTCCAGATAAAAAAGGAGCAAAATATGTAAAGGCAAAAATGCTAACCAACTGAATTATTTTCAAATCATTCTAGGCAAAAGCAATTTGCATCTCAATTGGTGCTCAAAAATCGAGGGGCGACGGAAAAGGGGGTGTGGGGGAAGGAAGGAGGGGATAGGAATGGGAAAAAATGCTGCCACAAAGCGGCAATCAGTAACAGTTATAGCGGAAAATAGCTATAATATGTATAGAGCTGATATGAATATCTAGCCCAAAACAGGCAGAAAATTGCAAAAGTGCCTAAAAAGAATCCACAGAAAAGGGGCTGCGAAGGGTCGCAGGCAGCTGCACACATGACTGAAATTAAAATAGCAACAGCAACTGCCGAGAAGATGAGGACTCGGATGATATTTGGGGGGCAGGAGGAGGCAAGCAGCAGGCCCGGCACAACCACACAAAAGCAATTTCGATCAGGCACAAAGATAAGGAGCGGATTCGAGCAGAGAGCCAACGCAGCACATCAGTTACAAAAATGTAGGCTACCCCTCAAGACCACCACCTCGCTGTGGAACACCCGGGAAACCCGACCCCACACCTCAACAAAGGACCCGTGAAAGCAGAGCAGATAAAGACGAGCCGAAACGAAAAAGGACATGAGAGGGGCGGCAGGAGCACACACAAGGATGCGCTGGAGGATTCGTGGTTTAGGCCTCGTTCTTTTTTTGCGGCTGCTGTAGGTGCGCTAAAATTATGCAAATCATCGTAATACTTTCCCGGCGAAAGCAAAGCGGAAGGAAATTGTGTAAAAGCGGCAAGCCTTGTCTGTCTGCTGCTGGCAGCCTTTTTGGCAGGCTACAAAGCAAATAATTGCCCCAGAAATTGGGGCCATGCAAACTGTAATGTAATGGAGCCGTTTCGCTTTGAACGTCGTCGCATGTGTAGCCCTAATGATGATATTTCCCCAAAAAGAAACCGAATCAAATAAAGCGCCTGGCGGCGTGGAAAACAGTAAAATGAAGTGAAATACTTGGCGAGTGTTTGCTCAAGCGGCCGCAGTCAATGGAGAAAAGCTTAAAGACTCCACTCGCCATAAAAGAGTTTAAGCTGCCGCGCAGTGGAGCATAAAGTGCACACACCCCTTTTGCTGGGGATTCAGGCTGCCCGCTTCCAGCAGCTTCCTTGGTTTTTCGCTTCCTGTGGTGGTCTGTGGCCGGGCGGAAAAATTTAATAAACGTCAAACTGAGAGCTGAAGGGGCAACGGAGCGACGGACCAAACATTGCACCTGCCGTTGACCGCATTCGGGAATGTTAGTGAAAAGGTGGCACTCCGAAATGCATACTTGTATAACCACGGCGTATACGTATTGTCCGCACGAGGCGGTGGTAGATATGCAATATAACGTATGCGACCCGTGACACATTTGGGACAAGGACAGACAGAAAGACAGCCCTCTGATCCCTGATATCAGGAAACTTCATAAGTCTCCGGCGAGATTGCCCGCCTAAGACCCATCTCTGATTTATGGTCCTTAACTTGCTTAACTCGCTTAATGTGCCATCGCTCATATGTCCTTGCCGCCTTATAATTGCACTTCTAAACATGGACCATTTATAAATCTAGGACTTGCAAAACTTTTCCCATTTCCCCGATTATTTCGCGCAACATTAACAGGCTTATTAATCGTTGCCCGCACGCAGTCAGAAACATCGAGCACGTCTCCTGGCTCACGATTTTGATCCTGAAGTGAAGGTCGCGTGAAATTGTCAAAGTGTTTGGCCAGCCACACACCCACACACACACGCATTTACCGCACAACCACAGTTACGCAGGGTTTACGAATTTTATTGGTCCCCCTTGGGGGGAAGGGGGGTTGGTGGGTTCATACCTTTTTCGAATAGCGCGACACACTAACTTAATAATTTAGTGGGTGTCGAGTGGGCTGTTATAAATATTTATAAGCGGTGCGATGGGCGTGACTTGAGTGGGCCGTCGATGGCAGCCCTAGATCTGCTGCTAAGAGCTACTCCAAATCCAAAACTATCCCGGGCTCTCAAGCTTCTCGGGCTCAATTGCGCGTAAAAGTCAAATGTCTCCGCCTTTCCCCAAAAAAGCTTTCTCGCCACTTGCTACTTGCCACTTGGCACACACGCTGATGCCAATACACACATGCAAAGTTTGCACGTTTTGGCATATAGCTCTCTAAGTCGGCGTTATATATGCGCATGTATTAGTTTTGGCCGTGGCCGTACAAAAGTAAAAGCTTACAGTCGTTAAGGGATTTAGCAGGCAAATATAAATTTATGAAATATTCGACAGGAGCAGAAGCTGAAGCAGGAGCACATCGAGTGTTGTTCGGGAGATTGCCATTCGGATGCTATTGCACCTTTCCGCAAACAAAACCAGAAAGCCAGACCGTTTTGGCCATGTTATAGCTGGGCAACAAATACAATCTGCAGCCACAGCACGACTGGTTGTTGGCCACTGGACATGGACAAAATCAATGCTGGCCAAACCGAACTAATGTTATTTGTGGAACAAACAACGATAATGAAATCATGGGGTGCTGGGCAAATGGAAAGTGATTCGGTTGGCTCTGGTCAGGTTGTGGCATCGGGCCAATAACTAATTTCATTTACTCTGCCAGGCACATTTGCAATCGGATGGCAGCATATGCACACAAAAGTTGACATTATCCACATGAGGCCAGTGTATGTTACCTGGGCTTAGTTCTACAAGTAATTAAGCCGCACATAGATGATAATCCAGGGCAGATTTTAAATCATCTTTTAATTCGTTGCCTCCTGATACATATGTTTTGATGTAATAATACTTTTGATTTTGGGTCGCAGGTGCAAGTGAATGCAAAAATAAATACAAAAATCCGACAATGAAACAGATGTGCATACATTTAATAAGAAAGCACTCGATTTGCAAACAATATAAATAGACCTGCATCAGCTGGCTAGTTGAATCTTAAAGGAAATGTTGAGAATTCTGCTGCCGCTGCTGGCACTTTGTGCCCTGGGTAAGTAAAGTATTATTATTATTATTTGCAATTACAAAGGTATAATTCTTATTACCCCAGCCAATGCCCAGTGTCGATTTAGCAGGCAACAGGTGGAGCAGACCACCCGCATTTTCATGCAGCGTGCCGCGAATGGCCAGCTCTCGCTCAAGCGGACGGCCAGTTCGTCAGTTGGCGAGGTCCTGCAGATGTTCTGCACTCCGCAGGACATTGTGGCCACCACCTGTCGTCCGGGTCAGACACGTCCGAACCGGCCGCCGGCCTTTCAGCCCGCGTTGCCCATGACTTGCCGAGCTCCTCCTGCGGCCTTGACCACGCCCGTCCAGGATCGCAACTGTCCGGCCACAATGTTCCGCGTGGGCTACAACGCGGGCAACAACCAGTTCCTGGAGCTCTACCGCGCCTGCTTCGACACCAGAGCCGTTAAAGCCATCTTCGTGGAGCACCGAGTCTACGCCAAACCCTTCTGTAAGTACCATTAATCAATTGAACAACATTCTAAAAAATTAAAAAAAATATCAAAATTATAATTATAATTATAGCATAAAAATAATTCTCTTCCCAAGCTATGCAAAATGTTCCTTCAAAACACCATGAATACAATAGAAATCATGGTGCTGCAAAAGAATTTTCAATCTATTTAAAAACCAACTGTCCTTAAACTTCTAATGATTTCTTGAAGACCTCACATTTCATTTAAATAATTATTTTGTTATTGTAAATATTTTCAAAGTGGGTTAAACATATATTACAATGGTTGATGATTCCTTTGTTGGGCAATAAAGTTTCTTTTATACTCGTCTATGCTAACAACATTTTTATGGCACTTTCATTTAATGACTTCATTTCATAAGCACTTTTCGTTAAGTTATTAACAAGTTTCACACGTTAAAATATTATTGCAAGACCTCTAAATATTATAGTTCAATATATTATATTTTATTTAATGATATATTTCCGCTCTCACCTTAGATGCCGCGCGGCCTTGTGTGCAGTTCAGTTCCGATGGAGTGATCAGTGGAGCCGATGAGGCCAGTTATACAACTCGCAACATTTACGGCACCTTCCGACGGCTGTTTGGTAATCAACAGAACTACATACCCAACAATCGGGACACGGTCATCAATCGAGGTCACTTGGCCGCCTCGGCGGACTTCTTCTTCGGCGACCAGATGTGCGCCACCTTCAAGTATGTGAACGCAGTGCCGCAGTTCAAGAGCATCAACGATGGCAACTGGGAGGCGATCGAGCGCTGGGTGCGCAACTCGGTGACCGGAAACGCGTTCGTGAATGTGCGGACAGGAGCCAGGGATGTCCTCTCTTTACCCTCACCCCCTGGATTGCCCTCGGGCTCTGGACCCAAGAACGTCTTCCTCAGCAACAACAAGAACCCGGTGCCCATGTGGATGTACAAGATAGTGAGGAACGCGAACAACCAGCCCACCGTGGCCTTCCTCACCCTCAACAATATATTCGCCCGTCAACGTCCAGGGGCTCCCAACTTCTGCCAACCCGTTAACTGCCCAGTTAACTTGGCCAACACAGCGCAGGCTGGATTTACCTTCTGCTGCAATCCCGCTTCTTTCAGACCCTAATCTGTAAAGTTCTTGCAAATAAAAAATTTTTCAGCATGAATATTATTTTTAATGATCAAAAGCATTGATTTCCTATAGTTTCCTACAATTCATTATTTAGATCTCTTAATCAAAACAATTTAAAATTTTTTCTAGTGTCTTTTTAAATATGTTTCTTATTAAATAATATAGATTTAAAGTTACATTTTCATTATATATTTTTAGAAATTAAAGTTAAGGGACAATTAAATAATTTTTATGCATGTTGCTTGTTTTATATTTTGCTTTATAAAAATGTATACAGCATTTTCTTATTAAAACCCCATAATACAGCACTTAATACGAATTAAAGTCAAATTAAATATATTTTTATGTCTTTATGCCGCGAATCAATTTTCATAAATCGTAAAAGTTCGCGTGGCAGTTTAAAACGCATCCAAAACTCGGCGAATTCATGCCTCATTCGGAATGGACTCCAGCCGCTTGTTTTAATGGTCATTCAGCGGCTTCTCATAAATTCCCCCAGCAACTTGCTTTCGGCCCATTTAAATTCAAGCTGCGATTGTGGAGCGAAGGCAAGCGCTTTTCAATGCGTGCGAGTGCAATAAAGGCCATGCCAATTGCTTGGCCGGGGGTTGCGCCTAAAAGTAGACATTAAATAAATTATTCAGCAGGCCATGGCTGCGTTGCTTTTAAATACGCACGCCTGCGAAATTGTTTTGTGCGTGTGCCGTAGCTGATGGATGGAGAAAGGAGAAAGGGGGCGGAGAAAGGAGAAATGAATGGGGGTGAAACATAGGGACAGTGGGAGCTCATAAAAGTGCAGAATAAATTTAGCAACCCGGACATGCGTTGAACTGGGCTCTCATAAAACCTAACAGTTGTAATTGTGCTGTAAACACGCAACTCAATGGCATTGCGAATGGGCTGAGCACTTGCAGCCACCCAACCACCCACATCCTGCCCAAGTCTATGCATCCATATCCATCCTGCACTGCGGCACAATTTAATTTATGCCCTGTTTTGTGGCCGGCTTGTTGATTTTGCTGCTTTGCCCCTTTTATTTTTATTGACCATTACAATTCAACACAAGCAGCCGGCCCCGAACTCATGCCACACGATTTGAGTCACAAATTTTATACGGCATAATTTGGTTCGCCCCTGTGAGCATGCATTAAAAGTGCCCAAATAGCGCCAAATTGCTCGTAAGCTGCGGAAATTGCGTTACGCCCACTCCAAATCAAGGCGGCCAAACGGAAGACAGACAAAAGCCCAGCATACTTTGTCGAGCATTTACCATTTCGCAACATGAACATTAAAATACATAGCCACTTAGACACATTTCCCGAGCAGTCGAACAAGGGCCAATTCAATGACCAGACAACGACTGACAGACGAATTAAACGGGGTTATTACTCAGCCATTGTCTGGCTTAGATTTCGTTCAAATTGCACCGCAAAGAACATACGTTTGGCAGTCTAAGACAACACCTATAAAACTCCTACCTAAATACCAGTTTAATATGCAACACTTATGCTCATTCATGCCTAAACCGTTTACATTTCCCTTCTAAGCCAGTATATGTGTTGGTTACTGTCAGCGGTCAGAGTCGAAGTTGAAAATATGTACAGACTACTGCGTATATCCGAAGTGGAAAATATTTCCAGCTGAAGCCGCCCATCAAGTGCAAGCACAATGCAATGCCACAATAAAACACTTTTCAGGCATTTAAGTGAGAAGAAAATGGGGAAATATATTCACAGCCAAAAATAGTCTGTTGTCTAAATGGACACACGTGTTGGCCAGAACAAAGAAGTCGGTTTAAGCGAGCGGGCCAAAATGGTATATAAACACCAGAGGCACAGCTCATCGATCAACAATTACCATGGAAGCCCAACAACTGCTGCTGATCGTTGCCATTGGACTGGGACTGGGTAAGGATAAAACAACTCTGATTAATGTGGCTCCTGGCAATTAAGATACAAGATACAGTAGTAACTTTAGCTTTAATTCACATCCTGCTAAATGTAAATGCACTTTTCAGTTATGAGAAATCCTTCTAAAATGGAGAAAATAAAAGGTATTAAATTACTAAAGGAATTGTCACGATTAATAATACAAATTATTTTTAGCCTAAATATTGATTCCGTCTAAATTTAAATGGACTTTTTCAGGAGTGTCACAACCATCTCCTCCATTCAAACTATGTCGTTCTTCTATATTAATGATGTACTACTTTTTTGAGAAGTTTTTTTTGATTGCGGAAAATCTGTAGAAACTAATTAAATATTATTGTTAGATATTTCTGTGACACCAGCTGAAACTCATAAAACGGTTTGGAGATAATATAGTTTTTTTTTTTTAGAAATGTGCCCCCCTAAAACCTATTATAGAATCATAGACTACTGCCTGTATACACTAATATAAGCAAAAACCTAATATCTTTAAGCAATTTTTTTGACGTTTATTTAACTTATATAATATATAATTTATTATTTATAATAATAACAATATAACTTATCTTTCCTACCCTTCCAGTGCTCCTTTCGGAGGCGGACTGCCCGCTATCGAGGGCCATGATCGAGGGCACCAACCGGATATTCACCAACCGCAATGCCGCCGGCCAGTACGAGTTGAAGCGCCTGCAACGGGTCCGCGCCAGCGAGGTGCTCCACATGATCTGCACTGCGACCGACATTGTCCAGACGACCTGCCAGGCAAACACCAACCTCAGTCGACCGCTCCCACTGCGCTGCCAAAGACCCATGGGGGCCTCAGCCACGGTGGTCACCGACGCCTCCTGCCCGGCAACCATGTACTCCGTGGGCTACACCATCAACAACCAGCGACTGGAGCTCTACCGCGCCTGCTACCAAGGCGCTGCGGTTCGGGCCCGGTTCACCACCCATCTGGTGTACCACAAGACCTTCTGTGAGTCCCTTTGGTTGTTGTTAAAAATGGATATAATATTGACTAATTTCCCTACACCTTGCAGTCCCTCAACGTCCTTGTGCCGATTTCTCCAGGGATGGCGTGATCAGCGAGGCGGATACCCAGAGTTTCCTGCCCCGCACCATTTTCCGCGCCTTCCGGACCATTTTCGGTAATACCCAGCGGTACATCCCCAACGAACGGGACACGGTCATCAATCGTGGACATCTGACGCCGTCGGGCGACTACCTCTACGGAGACCAGATGTGCGCCACCTTCAAGTACATCAATGTGGCGCCCATGTGGAAGAGCATCAATGATCGCAACTGGGAGACGATCGAGCGATGGGTGCGAACCCGCATCAGTGCTGGAGGATCGCTGAGGATCAAGACCGGAACCAATGGCGACCTGACCCTGCCGGACAATCGCAGGCGCCAACGTCGCATTATCCTGGGTGCCGGCACCAAGAACATAATGCCCTTGTGGCTGTACAAGGTGGTCCGCACATCGGCCAATGGACCACACAGTGTTTTCGTCACCCTGAACAACATATACGCGACTGCCCGTCCCGCTGCCCCCACATTCTGCACCAGTATTCCCTGCCCCATGACCCTGGAGAATGTGGCTGCCGCGGGATACACCTACTGCTGCAATGCCACCACCTTCACCCTTTAATTCGAATGAGCAGCAAAATAATAAATGCATTTCCTGAGCTGCAATCTTATATTAATGGCTTTTCAATACAGAACAGAATTGCTAAACTGATAACTTGAAATCACATTCAGTTTTATTTGTTTTCATAGGAATTTTTTATCAATCCCATCGAAAAATCTTTAATAATTAGTGAAAAGGACCATTTTCAAGTTGATCTTATTAAAATCAGTATCTAATATTAATTATTGATACCATATCGATCATTTTATCTCTTTAAATTAATATACTGTTGATATTTTTATCAAAATCAAGTTTTAAATTTTTATTTATTCACGCAAATTATTAAAAAAATTAAAAGTTTAAAAATTATTCATATTATTTTGATTCGGATAGTCTTTGCAATTGAGAAATCCATATTTTTTCTGAACCTCTACCGCTCCGATGAGTGAGTCACGTAAACTTAGCCCCATCTTATGATGAAACCCGAGTAGCTGCTCTTTAATGATTGCCCCGGCGAACGGTTTCAAGTGCGGAATCTCATTTTATTTTCCTCTGCTGCACCTTAGATTCAATTTTAGATACGTTTTTATGAGTGCTGCTGACAAAATGCAAGCCACATAAAGTTCATTGGATGCAGCTTGAAAGGAACGGAAGGGCAACTCCTTTGTTATCAAACGTGCGCTGGCAAGGTAAACAACGCAGTCCACAAGCCACACGGCGATGGGCGATGATAAGCGCAGATAAGACAGAGTGAAAGGCACAAAGAAAAGTGAGCTGGGCTTTTCCCACCCACAACCCACGACCACAGCCCTTAACCCCCTCATGCAACCACCTTAAAAGCCCTGAGCAAGTTACCCTGCCGCTTATCACCGATGACCAGATGAATGTCGCGATCTTTAGAGCTAGGGAGATAAGGAATAAGCTCTAGTCATTGATATTTCATCTCTTAGAGCCTAAGCTATGAAGTTGAAAGAGCAGCTGAACGATTGGTGTTATCATATTTACAAGTTGGTATTTGGACTATATTTGAAAGTATACTGTATAATCGATCATGCAACTTTATCGACGCATTTCTACACAAAGTGAATTGGCTTATGATTTTCTTCTTATTTGATCAACCGTTTCCTAAATAATTGAAAATGCTTAAGAAATACCATGTCCTGTGAAAGTTTTAACCGAAAAAGGGTGGGAAAGTGCATCTATCCTAAAATAATACATGTCGCTATAAACTACTAAAACACCTTTCATATAAGTGGCATGTATTAATACTAGAAAAGCCCACGGCAATAGCCCAATTTATTTATCAGTTTATCAATTAATGAATGGGATTCTCAGAACGAGATAAGAAGACAACAAAGAGTTTCCGAGGATGGATCATATGGTAGAGTATACGTATAATCAACTAATTTTAAACTTAATTGATTTCTTAGTAAATCGCTTTATGACTGCGCCGTAGGCGCTGATTAAGTTTCCCAGTGCGTTACGCAATTTATAAGACATGAGCCGAGCATGTCGAGCCTCAGTTTTAGTTGGAAGCTTGAAGATGCACGATCTGAAATTCCTCTTGCTCAGTCTGAGTCTGTTCTTCTGTGAGTTAATTTAGTAGATTAGGCAATCATCGTGAGATAACGACTACAAAAATTCGACTCTCAGTTGTAGGAACTGCCTGCGCTGACTGCATTATCCATGAGAAGTTTTTAAGTTCCCAGAATCTCTACTTAACTGGCAGCAATAGGTTCTTAGATATTCAGCGCAGTGATATTGTGCCCGTAGGCCAAACGCTGCAATTGCTTTGCGATACAGGAATAAAAAAAAATAGATTCGTGTGCCAGCCAAACAATAATTTTAATCCGTCATTGGACACGGCCAGTTGCTCAAAGGCAGCCAAACCGTCGGTTTTCAAGATACCTGATTCGTCTTGTCCTACTTCGTTTCTCACATACGCCGTGGGTTTCCTCGTCAATGACAAATTTATCGAGCTGTTTCGAAACTGTTTCGATGGTTATCACTTAGCATTGCAACATTCCATCTACAAGGCTTACCGCTACAGAAATTGTAAGTTAAACATATTGTAATACTAAATTGTTATCTTTTATCTTTATGACTCCATTACTTTGTAGCCGCTCCTCGTCCACTAACTTACTTCTTTTTGGATAGAATTATGACAGGAGCAGAAGCTGCCGCTTACCAAGGCAAAAAAATGCAAAATTGCCTTTTGACGAACTTGTGAGCTTGATCGTGGCCACATGACACCAAGTGCTGGTTTTATTTTCTCAGAGCTTAGAAAGTCGACCGACAAGTACTTGAACGTCGTTCCCCAATATAAACTGGTCAATATTGGCAACTGGAAAAACATAGAGGCCTGGGTAAACAATCTAGTGAAAGGTGATTATGATAACCACCGCACGTACGATGTCCTGAAGGTTTGCACGGGCGCACTGGGTGTACATGAGTTGAGACACAGCAATAATAATAATATGATACCTATTTACCTCTTGGGGAACAGCAAAATTCCCGTTCCCAAGTGGACGTATAAAATAGTTAGTCACCTTTCAGGAGATAAATGGGTGATTTTAACCCACAACGACGTGAATCCTCCTAGTCTGCAAGATCTAACTCAGATCTGCAATACGACCATCTGTCATCCAGGTCTTAATCTGAATGGGGTGGGATACACTGCCTGCTGCGATCCATACGATTTCATTAATACAAACCTTGACCATTTGACTGGTGTTTGCTGAGTACAACGGAAAACCAGCTTGTAGACGATTAGCTCTAATTAAATTTTCACACTTCAATTATAAAATAAATCACTTCGTACACAAATAGGCAGTGCTGTGCAATAACATCAGCCGCTTATTATTTATGAATGTCGGAATTCCCAGAACTCTAGTGATTAGATTAAAGACAGAGTCGAAGCTAGTGGCTGAAACTAGAATACTTTATTAGTTCAATTTAAATTAAAATATATATTCCGACTTATTACATATATTTATATATTGTATAAATTATTATTAAATGGGTGTGTAAAACTAAATGAATGAAAAACAAGAAAGGAAAGCTAACTTCGGGCGGAGCCGAAGTTGAAATACCCTTGCAGAATATTCTGCAAATTATATTCTCCAAAATTATTCATATGATGCATTCTTAATACTCATAAAAAATCCCAACTTCCTAACTTTAAAAACACCAAAGCTATGGCATTTCCAATCGTTCAGTTATGTATATGGCAGCTATAGAATATAGTCGGCCGATCCTTATGAAATTTGATATGTCGGATTGATTGGGCAAAAATAAAACCCATAGAAAATACCAACTTCCTAACTTAACAAACACCAAAGTTATGGCATTTCCGATCAATCAGTTATATAGCAGCTATAGGATATAGTCGGCCGATCCTTATGAAATTTTGGTACGTCGGATTGATTGGCCAAATATAATACCCATAGAGAGTCCCAACTTCCTAACTTAACAAACAGCAGAGTTATGGCATTTCCGATCAATCAGTTATATGGCAGCTATAGGATATAGTCGGCCGATCCCGGCCGTTCCGACTTATATACTGCGTGCAAAGGAAAGAAGGGTGTGTGTAAAGTTTCAATTCGATATCTTTAAAACTGAGAGACTAGTTCGCGTAGAAACAGACAGACGGACAGACAGACGGACAGACAGACGGACAGACGGACATGCTTATATCAACTCAGGAGGTGATCCTGATCAAGAATATATATACTTTATAGGGTCGGAGATGTCTCCTTCACTGCGTTGCACACTTTTGACCAAAATTATAATACCCTCTGCAAGGGTATAAAAATAAAACCCATAGAAAATCCCAACTTCCTAACTTTACAAACACCAAAGTTATGGCATTTCCGATCAATCAGTTATATGGCAGCTATAGGATATAGTCGGCCGATCCTTATAAAATTTGGTACGTCAAATTGATTGGCCAAATACAAAACACATAGAAAATCCCAACTTCCTAACTTTACAAACACCAAAGTTGTGGCATTTCCGATCGTTCAGTTATATGGCAGCTATAGGATATAGTCGGCCGATCCTTATAAAATTTGGTACGTCAAATTGATTGGCCAAATGTAAAACCCATAGAAAATACCAACTTCCTAACTTTAAAAACACCAAAGTTATGGCATTTCCGATCGTTCAGTTATATGGCAGCTATAGGATATAGTCGGCCGATCCCGGCCGTTCCGACTTATATACTGCGTGCAAGGGAAAGAAGGGTGTGTGCAAAGTTTCAATTCGATATCTTTAAAACTGAGAGACTAGTTCGCGTAGAAACAGACAGACGGACAGACAGACGGACAGACGGACAGACGGACAGACGGACATGCTTATATCAACTCAGGAGGTGATCCTGATCAAGAATATATATACTTTATATGGTCGGAGATGTCTCCTTCACTGCGTTGCACACTTTTGACCAAAATTATAATACCCTTTGCAAGGGTATAATTAAATAATAATAATGTATACGTTCGAAGATGTCTGTGTTTTAAGCTTGAGCACGTAGTTTATAAAACCCAATAAAAGGGTATAAATATTATATATAAATAGCTTTACAGTCGTTGTTAAGATCGTCAGTTCTAGCTGAAAACTGAAGCGGTTAGGATGAACGATCTGAAATATCTCTGGATCGGCCTATGTCTGGTTTGCCGTAAGTAAATATAGCAGATTGTTTGATTATCAGCAGAACTTACGATTCAATTCCATTTTCAGTTCTGGGAAATGCCCGGGCTAGCTGTTATATCAATAAGGGCGACTTGTCATCCAACTACCTATTCTTTAGCATCGAGAACGGTGTCTACGATATTTTGCACAGCGACAATGTGGCCACCAATCATGCAGTGTATTTGCTTTGCGGCGATTCAAGACAGCCCATTCAGTTAGTTTGTCAAGCCAATGGATTGTTTAAATCGCAATTTCCCAATGTACAGTGCTCAAAGGTGTTTAAAACAACTGTGGAGATGGTACTAGATCCCTCTTGTCATTACGAGATGTTCCGCGTGGGTTACAAATACCAGAACCATTTTATGGAAGTCTACCGAAGTTGTTACGACAGTTTGAGATACGCAGCGCAATTCTCCGTCAACAAGGTGTACCCCAGCAGAAACTGTAAGATAAAGTCAATATTTTATTTAAAATCATTGTTAATTATAATAATCCCCTTCAAGCCGCCACTCGTCAGCCTTCAAGCTTTACCACCGATGGAGCGATGACCGGAAGCGATGCTTTCGCGTACTTTTACTCACGAATTTATCAACGTTTCGAAAATGTTCTGGGTCCAAGACAGAATTATGTGAAAAACAGATTACCCAACCTCTTCGATCACGGCCACCTGACACCAAATGGCGACTATTCCTTCGATCAGCTCCAGAAATCGACCAACAAACTGAGGAATGTTGTCCCCCAATATTCCAACGTGAATATAGGCAACTGGAAGAACATCGAGGCCTGGGTAAAACGATTGCTGGTCAACCGAAACTACGATGTCCTAAAGGTCTGCACAGGTGCATTGGGAGTGCACGAGTTGCAAGCCAAAAGTGGTATGATGACCCCCATGTATCTGTTGGATAACAACAGAATCCCCATTCCCAAGTGGATGTACAAAATCGTTAGTCACATCTCGGGACAACAATGGGTGGTGTTAACCTACAACGACGGACTAACCAGAACACAACCGAACCCAAGTTCGTTCTGCAATATAGTCAGATGTGACCCCGATCTGAACCTCAGAGGTGTGGGTTTCTCGATCTGCTGCAGGCCCTTCGATTTTATTCAAAAAAATGTTCCACATTTGACTGGTGTTTGCTAAACGAGCTATTGTCATAATTAATATACATTCAAAGAAATCAAATATTTACCCGAGTAAAATGTTTGTTCTCCGTAATATTTTTGCAAGCGAACGTATAACGTTTAAGTTTAATTTCTAAAGCAATACCCAACGACAAAATTTAAATATCATTTTATTATTTTAATATACAGTCTTAGTAACTATTTGGGGGTAGTCAATTTTTTAAGATCACTTTTGCAAATGCAATACATCTTGTCGATTTTTTCGTCGACACAGGTTGAAACTTCCTTATAACGATCGAACCGACTTATGGTTGGCACCGAGACCTCCACAGACTCCGTAATATTATTGAATATAACGGTGGCTTCGAAATCGGCGCTGTGCTGATTCACCTTGAACTTGGTACGATAGGTGGCAACGTCTACAACGGGCAGTTCCCCGTGGAAATCGTGTTCCAATTCAATTTTCATCTCTATCTTGTGAATGTATTTCAGAGTGAGCTCCGAGCAGATGTCGCTGAGATTCTTGCCGGCCAGATACTCGTTCATCCGAGCGACCACCAGGGGCGGAATGCGCCTGGCCCATTTCGCCTCGAGTCTCTTGAAGGGCACGCAGGTACAGAAGTGCTCCGGTATTCCGGCTTCTTCACACGTTCTCGACTCGTCGACGGGATAGAATAGGGACTGGCACTGGGGACAGTCGACCGATCCGGGAAGCTTGGGGCTGTCGGCAGAGTTGCCCAGTTCGATGATGTGCTTCAGGGTGTTGTGCAGATCGTAGTTGGAGGTTAGGCGGTTCCGATTCCCCTCCAGGGCACTCGCATATTCCGGATATTGAGCCCGGAACCAGGGTGGCAAGTAGATGAACATCGAGGGCAGACGCTCCTCCAGAAACGCACTGGGCAGGGTCATGATCTTTCCGTACCGAGTTCCATGATCCGAGAGGAACACCATAATACTCTTTTCGAACACCCCATCTGCCTGGAAGTCCAGCAGGTATTGCAGCACATACTCCTCCATTTTGGAGGGCATCTGAAAGCTGTCGTGGCTGAAGCTATTCGACCAGAACAGACCCCAGATGGGACGCTCGTCCAAGTAACGCCTGGCAAATTCCTTGGCCATGTCATAGACGTAGCTGCTTGTGATCCGCCGGCCGACGCAGTACTTCATCGAGCAGTCCTTGCATTTCCAGGTATTCAGGACCTTTTCGAATGCCGTCTGGAAGGGCCTGAGGTAAAAGTCAGTAGGAGATTCTACAAAACCGGGTTTTTGGAAGTTGAACGTGTTCATGAAAGTTACATCCTCGGCATAGGCTGTCAAATAACTGGCATTCCGGAAGTCCTTCCATATAAAGGGGGTCTTGTCCAGGCATCCTTTCTCGTGCCAGTTGCACACTTTTTCCAACGCTGAATCCGGATAATAGCCAGTCAAGATGGCCATTAGATTGGGAAAGGTGTTGTCGCCCACCTACAATTTAGATTTTAATATAAGCCGTTGATATTGAAAGCTCTTCACTCACCTTATTGTATCCTTGCAGTTCGTACCAACCGCTGCCCGTTAAGAAGTTATAAACCTTTGGCATGGTTCGACGTAGGTTGATCCGTGACAGGCTGTCTATGCCGAACATCAGGACACTTGGCTTTCGTCTATCCGGTTCCTGTGAAAGTCCTTCGGGGAGTGGTTTATATTGGACGAGCGAATATGCATCGCTCTGCAGGATGTCCGAATCGTTTCCCAGACGATGGCAGGCCAAAACCAAGCCCTGCACATGCAGCGGCACCTCGTAGTTCTGCGAAAAATACTTCCGATCCACCCTAAAAAAACACAATTTTCAAAAATTATGCCCTATAGGAAAGATCGCAATGGACACTTACTCAGCGAAACTGTCGTTCCAAGTATTGCGCATTATCTCCTGATAATAACAGTTGAACTCCTCCACGCTGGAGTTGAGAGAAATTGAGGCCAACGTCTTGTTGATGAACAGCACATATCGCTGTCGGCTAATGTCATAGATCGGGGTCACCAAAGCGGATTCGTTGGAACAGACCTCGAAATGCTCGGGATGGAAAATAGCCATGGCATCCGCATCGAAAGGGTTCACATAAGGGATTTTGCACTTCGCGGATTCCACAAAGAAACGAGGCACAGGTGTGCTCGGAATTTTAATGGTAGGAGGTGAACTAGTGGTAGGAACATCTGATATTTTCGACTTAAGTTCCGAAACTCTGAACTTCAGGTACCGAGTATTGATACTTTGATCTATCAGATTAAGAATCACAATTACGACTATGAAGAAAAAGCAAAGCCATTTCAGAATCGGATGGAATATGTTGAACATTGCTGGTTAGCCTTCTAAGTTCGTTAACAGACTGACTAAACAGCGCACTGTATTTTATCAATTCTTTTCAAAGACCTATAGAGCCAAAAATTTAACAAAGTCGCTTTTCAACATATTAAAAGGTGTTCGTATACAAATACACTTGCTATGGCTGGAACAACGCAATCTATTTTAGGCACTAATTTGTTTAAACAGTTTGTACCCAGTCACACCTACGCTATTGTTTCCAGGCACTCGTATTATAAATATATGTGAAGCAAGTTAGAATTAGGGAAAACCCCCAAGTCTAAAGTCTTAGTACGACTATGAGCAAAAGCAGAGCCAGAATTAGATAGAATAAGTGGAACATGGCTTCTCAGCCCTCGGAGTTCGTTAACAGACTGACTAAAAACCACACTAACTTATTTATAATAACCAACAGCCAAAAGTTCTGCCGTTATCAACTTTTTTTTTCCAGAATCAATTACATTAAAAAAGAAACTTTTTAACTTTCTTCAAATTGTTCGTAGATAAATACACATGTAAAACATGAAAACACATCTGATAGCTCCTGATAATTGTTGGTAAAACACTTATTTACGTATTTTTTCAATGTATGGTATCTTAGATAAAGAACCTACCTTTCCCCAAATTACTTGAAAGCCATGTGAGCCATTAAACTTAACTGATAAAAACGTTTAGAATTTAATTTTGTTAGCTTTGGTCTTATAAATTATTCTATCATTTATAAAAGGTAAATAAATATCAACGATATCAAGTTCCGAGAGGTAAAACACTTTGGGAAGTTCAGCAATCGGCTTTTGTCAGAGCTAGACTATTTTCCAAGCTAAGCATCATGTGTGTCAATGAAAAGTATATTTTTTTCTGTGTTTTTACGTTTGTAAACAGTTGTTGTTAACCCTTTTCAGGGTCTGATCCATTTTATTATCATGGTTTGTCAACGTTAACATCGAAGTAAGAATAAATGCTTGCCATCCAAACATTATTAGCTTTAATTTTAATAAGAAACATGTAGCTTCCCTTGGGAAAAGGAACTAGGGCGAACATCTTATCGTCTAGAACGAAGTCCTTCAGGATGATGTCGTGCTGCTTGGAGTAACCGTATTTTTAATTTTTTTTAATGGTATTCCGAGCCATACTCACGTTTATCGGACAAGTGTGATTCACATTTATGAATGGCGTCAAAGCCTTATAAAAGTAAAAGAACACATTTGAGGGATTCGGGTGCTTCATGTGGCGACAAAGGTCAACAGTGATATTAAACAGGAATGGTTGGTAGCCGGACACTTTTTTCCATACGCTGAAATTGATCTTTAATGTCTTCATTGGGAGCTTTAGAATTTTTAATTGTAAGTTGGCTCCGATAATGCCGCGACCCAGGACTTTCAGCCGACACGCATCTACGTTGGCAAAGGACTTGTCATGAATTTCACACTTGATATTTGTGTGACGAGTTAGTAAATCTCCTGCTGCTGATCCACTTAATGCCCACATCATTCCAACGATATATACGAACTTCATGTCTTTGAAGTGTATAATATACTAATTACTAAATTTAAATAATATTTTTCATAAGTAGTTGACAATTATAATTTTTAAATCCAATGTACTCTCCATCAAAAAGCTATTATAACTTTTTATGTTTCCGCATCAGTGGAACTCAATATTGAAGCAAGCCCTTGCTTTTACATTCGCAAGCGTGTTCCGATTTACCGATTAAAACGAAAAATAGGTGCTTTGGTTTTTGAAGAGCTGAATGTATATTTTAAAATTATATACATTTCTTCTTGACTGGTGCACCACAAAATAATGTGCTGTCGACGGTAACCGGGGGGTGGGGGCAGGCCGCCGCGATCAGTTTTCCGTCGAAAGTGATCGAATACACTCGTGTATCGCGCGTGTTACCCTTGTTCAAAATACAGAGCTGCCAGACCGTCAAACTGAACTTTACTGGTTTTTCCCCAATTTCTCAGTTTACCGACCTCGCCCCCCGGCGTGAGAACCCCCAAAGTTGCGCCCCGATCCCCCACATACGTCACGACTGCCATCGTTGCCCAGCCTTTATTTTTACTTATACTCTCCATTATACTGATAATATTACATTACTTATAATATTACATACACTTACTAAAAGTTTCCAAGACTTCCACCATGTATTTCAAATCAAATAGGGATCGAGTCATTGCTAAATTTAAATCATATATTACCTCCATTAAAATTATTTTTTAGGGATGTTCAAATTTATTTTACAAATACCATTTCAGCGGTCTAATCTTGTAATTAATGTGGATTTTCGACGTTAATGTCCAAATAAGAATTAATAGTTGCTCCCAACCCACCATTAGCAATTAATTTAATCAGAAACATGAAGCTTCCCTTAAGCCCGGTAAATATCGAGAACATCTTATCGTCTAGAACGAAGTCCTTCAGGATGACGTCGTGCTGTTTGTAGTAACCGTATTATTAGATATTTTTTGACGGAATTCCGAACCATACTCACGTTGATCGGACAAGTGTGATTCACATTTATGAAGGGCGTTAGAGCCCGGTAAAAGTAAAAGAACACATTTGAAGGATTCGGGTGCTTCATGTAGTGACAAAGGTCAGTAGTGATATTAAACAGGAATGGATGGTAGCCGGACAGTTTTTTCCAAACGCTATATTCAATTTTTACCGTCTTTATTGGCAGGCGTAGAATTTTCAAGTGTATATTAGCTCCGATTTTACCGCGGCCCAAAACTTTTAACCGACACACTTTTACTTCGGCAAGGGACTTATCATTAATTTCGCACTTGATGTTCGTGTGACGAGTTACTATATCTCCAGATACAAGGACAATAAATGTCCATAAGATAAATACGAACCTCATCACTTTAAAGTGTATGATATTACTGAATTACTGATTCCTACGATTTTAAAATTCAATGTGCTATCACCAAAAACCCATTATAAACATTAATGGTTCCGCTTCAGTGAAATTCAACATTCAAACTAGCGAAAATTTTCACATTCGTATGAGTGTTCCGATTGACCGATTCAAACGCTAAATAGTAGCATTGGTTTCGAACAGCACATTTTTTTTGTTTAAATATATGTAATTGGTTCTTAATCTTAATAATAATAATAATAACAATTCAATTCGACTGAATAAGATTCGATCAATTGATCTACACTTTTGACCTCTGCTACCACTGTGCGCCTTGGTTGGAATCTCGGATAAAGTTCTGGTATTTTCGGTATGGTTGAAATTGTACATTTTTGAAGCTGGACGGTTTCTTTCCCAGACTTTCCCACGGTCACACTGAGCAAACAGTCCGAGCGTTTCGATTGGAAAACTGCTGAAATGGGCGGTCGGAAAATTTAGGAAAATTAGTCGCGACGAGTGTCCGACGCGGTTGTAGTGAAAATCCGAGTTAACTGTGCGAATACGCAACGTGCCGTTCGGAAAACCGCTTAAAAATAAAACGCATGATATCCTGGCCGACGCAGGATAGCTGTGTGAAGCAAACGCGAGGATTAAAAGGAAGGAGAGAAGGAGCGGCAGCAGGATAAGAAGAAGAAGCAGAAGGCGGAGCCGCATCTGCCGCAGTCAAAACACAAAACACAAGAGGAAATCCAAGAAAAGCGAGACAAAAAGTGCATTCAGCGCAGGGATATGTGAAATGTGAACGATGTTGCAACGTCGCGCTGCTTGCATTGCCAAGTAAAAGCAAAGTAAAGCAAGGGCAAAAGCAAACGCAGAAGAAAAGCAAAGTCAGAACAAACAAAATACACAAAGTGAGAGAGAGAGAAGGAGAGAGGGAGTGTTTGGTGTATCTGTGTTTCGAATAGTGCGTTCGTGTGTGTTTGTGTGTCCACAACAAATTATCGTATAATTTCCTTCGATTTTGCAATAACAAAAAGCAGAGAGACCTGGTGACTGTCGAACCCAAGGGGATGTCCTCTCCACCATCAACCCCCGCTCCCTAAGGTCATAGGTCGCAAGCCAGGAGGTGAGTAAATCGAAATCATATTCAAAAATACACTTAACAAAACGATGATCAGTTTTGACCTCGCTGCAAATCGCGTAGGAAACGAAACGAATGCCAAATTTACCCAAAATATAAAAAAAACACGTTTGCCAACGCCAACAGCAACAACCCATGTCCAATTAAAGTTGCAGCGGGGGAAAAAAGAAATGAAAAACCGGCATGCCGGCTGCTGCAATTCAGAGCTGCTCAAAGTTAAACGAGCCAAGTAACACAAGAAACAACAAAAACCACGCGTCAACTACAGTGGAACTTCCCATGGGACAGATCATATGCCAAATTTGAATCAGATACTCTCTAAGGGAAATACTGGTTTTTTATTAAAAGTAGGTTTCAGGCTTAAAAATTCAAAAGAGCTTAAAACCTATTTTTAGCTTACCATGCGGACGAGAAAACAGGATTAAGATATAGATATTTCTGACCTTAACACAGAACCTTTTTTTTTAACAAATTTTATAATGATCAGATCGATATCGATCAAAATAAACCATTTTATAAAAGTACCCCTATTTATCTGATCATAATAAAATAAACCTAAAGAAAATCTTTCTATTCGCTTAAAACAACTCGGAAACAATTTTACATTTCAATATTACTCTTTCAAACCTAGATGCGAAGTTATTTATAGTGGACACTATTTAATCCTTTGATGATTCATGTTATAGAAGGACAACTGTATAAAGGCTACCAAAGTCTCATGAGTGTTGGTGCAACTTTGTGGGTGTGTGTGTGCTCGCAATAGTACACCAACTCGCGGCTCACTTTAAATATTTCACCTAACTACACACAGAATTCTCTTCGGTTGGGGTTTTTTCTGCGCCGCCAACTTTTGAAATGAAAATAATCATAATCAAGGGGTTGGGAGCAAAAGGGGAGACTCTTCAACAATGCCACACCCACTCGCATCCCCCAGCACTTCTCCCTCACTATTTGCTTTTTTCACTGGAAAAGCCAGAATGTATGAATGAGTTAATCAGAGAGCGGAGGCAAAGCGCCAAAAGGCAACAGTCAGCAGACGCATCGTCTGCCCAGCTCTCTGGTTGCCATTATCAACAAACAACAAACAAAACGGCAAAAACAATTGCACTAAAGTTTCACTAGAATCTGCAATGAATCAGAAGGAAAAACCAGAAAAAACGGGCAACACGTAAGTGATAGCTGGAAACCCTATACCCTTTTCTGCGATGATAGTGAGGTTATACAAACTTATACAAAATGTATCTTAAAGTAACAATATGAGTATCTTTATACCCTTTTCTGCGATTATAGTGAGGTTATACAAACACACACAAAATGTATCTTAAAGTAACAATACGAGTAGCCTTATACCTTTTTCTGCGATCATAGAGAGGATATAAAAACTTATATAAAATGTATCTTAAAGTAACAATAGGAGGAGCTTAATGTTGCAATCAGAGGATGCATACACTATAAATTTATAATTTTTTAGAACGATTTCGAACTCTGCAAAGAGGACTAACTATTACATTTACTCAACAATGTTCCAGCTGAATAACCCATTGGTTGCGGAGTGTATCAAATGCAATGACAAAGATCCCGACGATGAGTCTCCTATAAATTGCGATGGCATTCTGCGCTTAACGGGTTTTTTGTTTGTTACATTTTTCGACATTTACGCCATTGACGTAATTGTCAGACCCGGCCCAGACACACTACTCAGCTGAACCGTCAGTCTGACACCGCCACTCCAGAGTTCCCGGCTCGGGTCGGCTCCATTGCCATTTCTATTTCCATTTTCATGTCCAACTCGCTCCCGTCTGCCGTTTTCAAGCTCAAGAGCAGCCGGCTCTGCCTTGGTCTTTTCATGAATTTGCATTTGCGGTCGCCGGGAAAATTCTCGTATTTTCAGCGGGTATTTTTCATAATTTGCTGCGCGCTCCGATTTTTCCAGCACATTTTTTCCTTTCGGCTTGCTGCTAGCACGGTTCGTTGCACTTTTGTCAAGCTTTTGGCAAAGTTTTCGGCTGAATTTTCGTGTTATTGTCGGAATTGCACAAAAGTAATGAATGGTCTGATAAATTCAGGATGCCTAGTAAACCCAGCAGACCAAGCATCGCAGAGCAGCAGCGCTGACTGCCAATTTGGGCGGACCACAAGCAATTAAAATTTAATTCACCCAAACCCCGAGATATAGCAGGCACATAAACCGCAGTATTAAAATTTAACAACGCAGCAGGTCCTGCGGCCAAATTGCCTACTGGCTGGGGCCACTTTAGAGCCCGACACTTGCCCAAACCAACTCCGCCGCCCCGAGCACAAATTAATTGAATTGAGACACATTTGCGAGTGGCCGCAAAAAAGAGAAGTTATTTTGGGAATGATTCTTGTGGGCGGCTGGCTGGCACATCAAATACATTTATAATTTTATTAGGAGAGTTTTTTCCATTCACCGGAATGACAGGCAAATGAAAGGTCCTTGGCAGTTAATGTTCGGTATTCACGCACACCATGACAGACGCAAGTGATACACTAAGAAAAATGTATTGCCTGTATGGAAAGTCTGAATATTTGAAAGCCCTTTCCTCAATTGCAGAAATGAGAGAATTGGCTTGATTTAAATAATTTTTCTTTTCGGAAAAACCAAGTTTCTTCATGATTTAATTATCTTCATTTCGAAGGTAATATTAATTTATGTTTTAACTGCTGAATTTGTTCATACTTTTATTTTATTAAAAAATATTTCCTGTATTTCTGGAATTAAAAAAAATGTAGTATTTTGTATATCCTTTAGGAGAAATATCCTCTGAGGAACTAAACAACTGTTTTTCCAGTGCAGGGACAATCCGGTCTGAGTCATTCGCAGTCGAGTGAGGGAGATGTGCTGAGGAGTGTGAAGCGCCGTTTAGGACCTGCCATAAAACAGCTCATGCTTGACTGTCCCGCAACCTTGTAGCAGAGTGTATTGTTTATGTGTCGGCAACACGCTGCGGTTCCCTCTAAACCCGCTCCATCCTCAGTTTTTGGCCCACTGCGGGTGTGTGCTAATGACGCCGCACTTAACCCATGTTACCCGAAAATAGGCGTGTCCAATGCCGCCCGGCAGGTAGTCGTCGTCGGGTCAAACAAGACAGCGATTTTATAGGCACTTGACAACTCTATAAACACATAACGCTTATCACCCCAAGAACACCTTCTCGACCCTATAGCTCTCCTTTTCTGTTCCACAGAGTTCAACTCTCGAGCCGCAATTTTCACACGGCTTTAATGCTCGGTTTTATGGCTGATATGCCAGTTAGATAGCTTTAAGCCCAGCTCAACTCTCCAATTTCCCTCTAGACATTGCCCCGTAACAAAAACAAGGGCCAAAAGAAATATGGCAAAATGAAAGCATTGCCAAAGAAAAACCCCGCAGAAGATGAAAAACTTACAGACTAACTTTTAGTTTGGGGAGAGGAGCAGGCTGTTCCAACTCAAACCGAAGATGCTGTGTAGGTTTTTGTGTGTTTCTGTGCCTTCTCGAGATCTCCAAGTTGGATGTTGTCAGAATTGCTTTGACGTTTTATTAGTTTCCAACTGGGCCCCCAAGCAGCCGCACTCCTACAAGCCACGAACATCATCATCGCCATCATAATCATTTTCGTCATCTCTTATGGCAAACAAAAAAAACAGAAAATCGACAGAAAATTTACATAAGAAACGCTGAAGGATGCTCCACGGGCCGGGCACACTTCACTCTAGCCGGCGCTAAAAATAACAAAAACAAACTCCCAATGCGCTGACCAAAGCGAAATGAATAATACTCGCATAAAAGAAACGAATGCGACGACTCCGTCTCGAACACATTCGAAAATAGTTTGTGCGGCATGTCAAAAAGCCAGTGACCGCATTAAATTTTCCTCTCCGACAAACGTTTTTTTGGAACACTTCCAGAGGCCCAGCGAAAAGCCGCATAACCAGCCAGCCCAACCGTTTCAATTTGATCGGCCAGCCAGCTGAAACCCCAGAGATTTACGTTCTCATCCAGCATCTTTTACACTTTTTATTTCCCGGGTGGCAGGATGATTCAGGCGATGCTCGCGTGCAGTTTGTTTTCCCAGGCAGCAGATTGGTCACTGATTAATCACACGAAATGAGAATTTATTGAGGAAATCAAACGATCAAAAAGCGTCTGAGAATTAAACGGCTTGTAAAAGATGCTAAAATTAGGCATTACCAAAGAGTGCTTAATTATCTCTCTTCGGTGAATCTGGGGTGCAGTTAAAAATATTTGACAGCCAAATTAAATTATTGCTTCTACTAAACCCCATGAAACATGCTTTAAACAATATATTTATTTCCAAGTTTTTATTGAATAAAGGGCATCTAGCCGTCAACTCTGTAAACTAACACTTCCGTGCTTTTCTATGGACCAAATGGAGCACACGGGGCGCAACTCCCAAAAATGAGATTTGTGCACACGGCTATTTTTGTGGCCATTGCAACCAGGCACAGTAAAAATCGAAAAAAAAAACGCATGACAAATAGTTCAAAGGCCCAACTCGTTGGGAGTATTTTTTTTCCGGCGTCAAGTGTGTGTAGTTTGTTATTTTTAGCACAAACGCTGGACGCACCCAAGAGGGAATGATACGAGGGGAATAATTAATTCATTGCATTGGCCAAACAATTTTCGGTCGGCTCGGTTCAGCTCACCTCTGAAATGGGTCAGCAATTGTAAGCCGGGCAGGCGGTTTCCTGCCTTTTGTTCATGACGATCATGATTATGGCGACGACGACGACGACGACGCCCATGTTGCGTCACTCTCCGAACCACGCCCATAAATATGGACTTGCAAGACTAATTTGCCCTTTTGGCCCTTTTGCTCTGGAATCAGATAAATTTGGTTATTGCGTTTTATTGGCGTGTTAAATTGTTGCAACTTGCAGCCTATGTGTCTATCGATTGTCTGCCCCACAGGCCCAACTCATTAAGTGAAATTGCCATTAAGACGATTCGCCCCCCCTCT